TGTAGTTTTCGTTGTATTATTACCAAAACGAGCGAATAACTGTGCTGGACGAAATGGTGCAGGTTAAGTAATAGTCGACGTTGACAGAATATAATGTTCTTACTTGCCTTTTATAAGATGAAAGTAATGTGTATAAAAGGTTTGACCACATGGCCATTTATAACATTTCTACCTGTTTACATTAAATCCTTGCACTTGAATTTATTGCACATATATATAAGTGTCTACATTGAAAAAACTTGATCCAGATCAACTCTTTATTTACCCAAATCTACAATAACATAACTTTTGCATTTCTATGAAATGGTGAGCATTCGCAAGATTTACTCGAAGGCATATCTTGCGTGAATTATCTATATTTTTATATTATGTTCAGGGCTCTTTAGTTTTTTTTCTCTTTTTTGCACAAAAATTGTGAATGCTTCTACACACAATTATCCTTTCGTGGCTGTTCAGCTGTTCAAACATTGTCACTCTTTTTGAATTTCTAATGACAAACCATTCGAATTCTCTAGGCTCTGTAGAATGCTTCCCTCTTTGGTACTTAACATGTCAATTACTGGTAACAGTTGAAATTGACACTTAAGAAAATGACACGAAACTGGCTACCATATTCCTCCTTAGGATCATACATGTACGCATGTGTATGTATAGAAAAATGTGAATGTAAGATGTGTTATATTTCATTGAAATCATGGTAACTTTCATATTATGTCATCAACTTTTCAATTTACATCTTACATCAGCAACGTCATTGTTATCATCATTGCTGTCTTTGAATGTATTAGCCAGCCAACATGCCAGCCATAAAGCAAACTTTTTGTGTGTGTTTGTTTGCACTATTTATACATCATACAACCTATAAAGTTAAGATATTATTAATATTTTTTCATGTCTCAAGTAACTGAATTTGTAAATAATTATATTAAGAGAAGGCACTCCACGAACTGACACTATTATTTTAGAACAATGTGCCAAATTCGCAGAATAGGGGTGGTGTTTTAAGAATATGGTGTACTATAGGCAAGTTGTTTAACGAATCTACCCTACTTTTAAAGTTGAAACCGATTCTGCAATTTTTGCGACAAGCGAATATTTATAATAAAAATCACAGAAAGGGATAGGCGTGCAAGTCCACTTGCCTAGATCGATACAGAACTTGATCCTGATCCTGATCCTGATATGTACTCTGTGGTATCTGTGAAACTTTCTTATGGACATTATGAAAGCTTTGGCAGAAAGAACAGATCATGCTGTGAGAAAAATCATATATCCTAGGGGAAACGAAAACTGCTAGAAATTTTTTTTGATGGTGAAGAACATTTATTTACTGAACAAATCTTAAAAAGCTAGTCAGCAAAATAATTTCCAACGTTTTTTACCATGCCAGCGTAGAGGCAGTTGTTCGATTCTTTTTTTTTAAATCTTCGATTTGTAAAACTTCTAAGCGCTTCACTTCTCCATCTTTGTTAAATATTATACCTCTTAATGTATGCTTTAACGATCTGAAAACGTGACAATCTGACGGCCTGAGATTCGATGAATAGGGTGGGCGAGGTAAAAGTCCAATCCAAGCTACGCCAATTTTTCCTGTATTAATTTTTCCTGCGTGAGGTCTCGCGTTATCGTATTGATGGATCCTTGCTTTGTTGTTAACCAAAACTGGTGGTTTTTATATGAGGTCTTGTATCGGTCACTTGAATTGTTCACAATACATTGTCACTATAACGATCTGACCAGTTTCAAAATAATCGTAGTGCACGATTTCAAATAATTCCACCGCACAACAACAACCTTTTTTATTGTTAGTGATAGTCAAGGTGTCGGGACAGGAAGAAAGTCATTGTCTCTTTCCTACGGGACTAATATATGACGCTCACTTCGCATCTCCAGTTACAATTTCTCGCAAAAAAGGATCGACTTCATACCGGGACAAAAGAGACGCGCAGATGATACGCCGTCGATGGAACACCATATCTGTTAACTCGTGAAGAACCCAAATTTCGTGATTGTACAATTTTTCTAAGCAGCGAAAATGATTTGGAATTGTAGACCATATGTGTCAGTGATAATTTCTCAATTGTTTGACGAGGATCCATCATCGCCTTCAGAATATCACCATCTAATTTTGATTACTTCTCGGTCCCCTAATAATTCAGATGAGTTATACGAATATGTTTTATTACTCACATCATTTATTATGGACGTGTTTCTTAACCGATCGGGGCAGTTTCTGGACCGAAGATGATGGTGGTTTTGATAAACGCCACCGGTGGTGGAAATGTCTTCAGGGTACCGAAAGTTATGAACGAACACATAAAAAAATTTCTAATCTTTTTGGATACGTATGCGAACAGGTCACAACTACTTTTTGACCATGGGCTCTTAACGAATCGCGGAATATCTATGCGAAATTTCAATTTCCTATCTTCATTTGTGTAACCGTGGCAATTCGAAAAAACAGGAATCAAAATTTTTATTTTTATACCATACACCGCTTATAGTAAAAATATGTATAGGTGGATGTATACAATACCCCAAAGGATTTGAAATACACAGTTTCGCCATCGGTCTAAACTTGTCTATTGCAAATTATTCGGATCAAACCACTTCTATGCACAGTTCTTCATATAACACCTAATTAATTGTGGGGTGGTGTAGAGCATTTAATGGCCATTCATCGCCCACTATAATGTTTTTACTTGTTCTCTTTACTTGATCGTATCCTTTCACCAAAAATCTCGCAGACTTTTGCATATTTGTGCAGACGTAATCTTGCAAATGATTAGTAAGCAATAGTTGACTACTATAACTGGAAAAAACATAAGAAGACGTTTTTTTTTAAATCATGGTTTTTGTTGTAATTTTACTTTTTCCCACATCGAAATTTTCCTTCTTCTTCCGGAATGTGTATCAACACGTGAGTTTCCATTACCATTCGGGCAGCAAAAGCTTTACCACATATATGATATTTATGTAGTTTCTCCCATAAATCTCCTACATTCTTATATGTGCAACGGAGCAAGTGCGTCTGTCGTCGTAGGAACCCGCTGCCTGAAAGAAATCGTACCACGATATTATAGTTGCTTGTATTCATTTGTCGATAATGGTTTCGGGCATGTGTTGTTGCATAGACTTACAGAATACTCTGGCTGGCACCAGATAAGTTGAAATTTGAAGTTGTTGAGCTGCTCGATGTCGGTTGTGGGTTTTTTAAGCGAGCCTTCATTTCTTCTCTAAGGCGGTCAATTTGCTGCTGCAATGCTGCATTCTCCTGTGAGTTGGAGGTGTTCAATACTTTCAAGCCACCGGGGCTGACTACTTGCACGTGGCCTTCTAAATTTTCTACTTATGCTAATTCCCTTCTACCTTTTTCTATATGGACTGCTTCTTCTATCTCTATTCTACCTAATTCTTCGTCAAATCCTAAAAAAAACGGGCAAATCCGTTTCGACGTCATCTCAAGCGTCTGAAACAACCTACCATCTTCCCATCTTCAATCATCTGCTTCTTGATTTTTCGCGGCGTACGCATTAAACCCATTTCTTCGGTCAACCACCGGTACATCCGCAAAAATGTGCGCCTGGTTATCATTGGCCCATCATGATTCTTGAAATTTCTCTCAATAGTGTGAAGCTTTTCTTTCACTGTCTTCTCAGTAACTGAATGATTCATTTTGGAGCTTATCTCCGCTGCCAGGTGCTTCCATCCTGATTTCTTATTCGGAGTTGTTGGTGCTATCGTGCTGCTTCATAAGGTGGAACTCGAAGGTTTCGCAAAATATGCGATATGTCAAAATGTTATAAGATTATAACTAATTAATCTTATTATTAAACATGAAAAATAGAACTGATTAGCTTACGGTAACATTTAAAGAGTTACTTAAACTGTAGAAACATTTAAAAGGCCACTAAAAAAAGATTCTGAACAAGAGAGAATAGAGATAGCTTCAAAATATGGTAAGACTACGTCAACGTGTAAAGCTTTTCTCAGGAAACGAAGAAGAAGACGAAAAAAATTATTCATAAGTTGGTAATTTTCTGTTCAAACTTCAAGGTTCTCTACTAAAACTAGAACCAAATTTGTATGGCAACGCCATCTATAGAAACATTTCTCATTGATTGAAAAGTATAGCGTACGACCAAAAAACATTTCTCATTGATTGAAAAGTATAGCGTACGACCA